TTTTTTTTTTTTAATACTTACTAAACTTGATCTAAGCTGAAACATAAAAGATCCGTACAAAAGAAGGCTGATTTTGAAGTAGTCAGGGAATATCTGAATCTAAAGGAGGCCTGATTTTGAAGAGTTTGACAAAGTTGACCTGGAATATCAGAAAACAAAGAAGAGTAGCAAACCAATCTCTTATCTTTTTCAAAGTTACGATTTTGATTCCCAGGAGAGTTTTAGACATTTTCTTCTTTTCATAGTGTAGTCTCGTATTGAATTTGATTTCGAGTTCTCTAGTGATGCGAGTGAAAGGAGAGGGGAGAAGGAAAGAACTCGTCTACTAGTAAGTTGGGGTATTCCACTTTCAGAAGGTGGCAGCACATGGGAGTAGCAGATCAATGATTTTGCATAGTCGTCAAAACCGGGTAGAAAGGCACCTTTCCAAAACCGAATAAAGGAAGTCGATATGGTATTGGAGGGAGCCGAGCCTGGGCCTTTTGACTAAAGAAAGGAGTCGGGGGGCGAAAGATGCTCGACTTACAAGGAGAGAAAGCTAAGAGGAGCCCTGGAAACGACTCCACTCGGGATAGAAAAACGAAAAGGGAAATATCCTAAGTCATAACGCTTAACATGTTATTTTAAGGACTTTTAGCATAGAACATGATATGGAGAGGATTCAGAAGCACATGAATCGCAAAAAAATATCCTAAGCAATAATGCCGAGACTGGGACACCAAATCGAGAGAAAAAACAACAAAACAGAAGATTGCCAAGACTGACACTATGCGAAAATAGTTAGAGAAATTACTCATTCATCGACCCATCTAAACAATAAATGTCAGGGTGCAGCTCTTTGCACTGTTAATGAGCAAGTTTTGCTAAAGCCAATAGGAAATGAAACAAAATCTTATAAACCTGTACCTGACAACTGTTGACTAAGAAAAATCCCTCAAAATCATACACCAACTTGGGTCGATCCCCCGGCTCATACACACACAAAATTTTAAGATATTCACACAATCTAAGATATTCACACAAACAAAATCCAAAAAATCCGAAACTCTCTAAGATATAAAGCCTCCCGTCCCCCGAAGCCAGCCAGCCATCCCTAGTAGTTCACCCTGCTAGAAATATGAAGCAAAACATCGTTAGCCAATAGGAAGCCAAGTACCATATTAGGTAAGCAGAGAACTACAAAGACCTTAAAAGGTGGTATTCATACAGTAATACAAACCAAAAGAGAATTCAAGATGACATGAATCTGAAAAATGTTCTCAACTAATTTTTGGCTATCTATCAAGAAGAGCAAAAAAATCAGGTATTAAAATACTAAGAAATAGCAATTTTTTAACATGTAGGGCAGGCAAAAACCATGTCACACATTATATACAGAATTGTGCATATTCTGTACACCTTTGAAAGAAATAAAAAAGAGTAAAACTCAATCCTTGTGACAATTTGTTGGAAAATATTAAAGACAGTATATATGTAGTTACATAGGTACTTCAGGACAAATTATCCTCCTAAGACGCCACATTCAACCATTTAATACGAATTAATTTCATTTTAATTATGGAGAAATAACTAAAACGTTCTAGTTCCAGAATCTCAGCAAAGCTTCTAATCCTAACGAGTCCCGAAAGAACATGAATGATCTATGAGGTGCAAATACAGAGTAAGAGACTAAAATAATGAACTTTAGATGGATGGTTAATAAGCACATATGTACTGATGTACATAAGAATCAATCTACATAAAGATAGTTTGCTTACAAACATACCCATTCCAATCTCCGGTTCCATCCTCAATCTCAATGTTGTTTTCAGCACCCATATTGAACCTGGAAAATCCATGATAACAGAACAAACAAAATAATAAGCAATAATTGAACCAAATTCAAAGCAACCGAAATCAGTAGAAGTAAGTTTTCAACAAAAAACTATAATTACTCTACATACTTCAATTGCAGAAAACTATGTTTCTGCTTCTAACAAAAACATTTATCATGAAGCTCTAACATAAACATTTGATGGTAACTCAGCAAGATAACTCCATACTCACACAAGTAACTTGAACAAAACTTGCATAGACTATCATTAGTTGGAGCATCCAGATTGAAACACCACAAGAAAATGTGAATTCATTAGAAAATACTAAGGCGATTGCAGTAAACGATACTAACCTATTTCGGAAATTTTTCCCAAAAATAAAAACCGGTTGCTAATATATCCACAAAACATAAATATCACCAATGACAAGAGGATGACAATCAATTATCAATTCAACCACAATAAATCACTTCAAAATGGCTGAAACGAATCACACATCCCCAGCAAGAGCATAATCAAGCAGGTTCAATAAAAATGTATTTGAAATAATTGTTGTTTGTTGCAATCGTAAAAATGTATTTGAAAATAAGTTCTGTGCGAATGAGCTTCGCAGATGACCTGATTTACCCCAACTCTAATTACCAAACTAAACTCCGATCTCTTTGTCATTCCTAATTAGTATTCTAAAACTCTATATAGAAGCACTGCAGACCGATAACAAGTCTTTCTCATTCATCACTCTTACTACAAACATATAATTTGATTTGGACAAATTATATGTCGTCCATGAACAAGGCTGCTTCGACACAGAAAATGACACAATGGAAAGAAATTTTGACATTTCAAGCTTACAAGCAAGGTCGTGTATTGGTTGATTCATGCCATAATTACGAACTTGAAAACCATTAGTAAATACTGTGATAAACATGTTATATAGTGCGGCGTGCCTGTGCCTAGATTAAGGTTCATCAACAACTACTACTAATGTACGTCTACTTAGCCTGGTTTATTGTCAAGTACTCAGTGCAAAGTAAGAAGATTTCTATAAGATCAAAACACAAATGTGAGTTCAAATTCTGTTCACATGTTCATTAAGTCAAACTCAGGTTATATAGGTTATAAAGAGATTGAGTCGAATCAAGCATTCGTATTTCAAGCCTAATCAAGGCAAGCATTGGTCAAGTTTATTTATTTATTATCCAAACTAAAATAAAGTGATTACAGAAAACCAGAGAGAATCTATATGATATTTTATTGAAGAAAATAGTCAGACCATGGAAGTAGTCAAGGAAGGCAAATTTTGAAGAGTTCGACAAAGTTGAGCTGGAATATCTGAATCTAAAGGAGAGTAGCAAACAATATCATGTCTTTTTCAAAGTTATGATTCCCCACAGAGTTTTAGACATTTTCTTCTTGATGCTTTTCTTAGTGTAGTCTCGTATGGAATCTGATTTCGGGTTCTCTAGTGATGCGAGTGAAAGGAGAGGGGGAAAAGGAAAGAACTCGTCTACTAGTAAGTTGGGATATTTCACTTTTCAGAAGGTAGCAGCACATGGGAGTAGCAGATCGATGATTTTGCGTAGTCGTCAAAACCGGGTGGAAATGACCTTTCCAAAACCCAATAAAGGAAATATTTTGACTTAAGAAAGGAGTCGGGGGGCGAAAGATGCTCGACTTACAAGAAGAGGGGCTTTTGCCCAGATTAACGAAAGCTAAGGGGAGCCCTGGAAACGACTTGATTCGGGATAGAAAAACGAAAAGGGAAATATCCTAAGTCATAACGCTTAACATGTTATTTTAAGGACTTTTAGCATAGAACATGATATGGAGAGGATTCAAAAGCACATGAATCGCAAAAAAAGTATCCTAAGCAATAATGCCGAGACTGGGACACCAAATCGAGGGAAAAAACAACAAAACAGAAGAATGTCGAGGCTGACACTCTGCGAAAATAGTTAGAGAAATTACTCATTCATCGACCCATCTAAACAATAAACGTCAGCTTTTTGCACTGTTAATGAGCAAGTTTTGCTAAAGCCGATAGGAGGAAATGAAACAAGCTGCTTGCATAGTGGAACCATATGAAGATACAAGATACCAAATTCCAAAGTTAATGCCATCTTTAATAACAGACCCCTCCTAAAGCAACTATAAGTCTATATCAATGAGCTAAGCCAAAATATCAGTCATTCATGAATAATAGCATAACTCACAGCCAGAGCACTCATGAATGATGTAACAAGAATTATCAGAAATAATTATTAAAAATCCTATCATTCAGTGAAACTGTCAACAGCAAGATTTAAGGCTGTGTCTGAGGGGAGATTACTGTGATTTGCTACAATGATTAATGCCATAAGGAATATGATAATATGATCACCTAATACAGGACGAACCGGTTGTATTATGGTGCTTTATATTTGCTACTATAAAGTGCAACACTCAGAACACCACCAAATCAGCAAATAAACATATCGATGTATTAATCCTTTCACAGGGTTTTGCACAATCTTGAAGTTAGCTTAATAGTCTTCTTCACAAAAGCTAAGAGAAAAGCCCTGGAAACGACTTGACTCGGGATAGAAAAACGAAAAGGGATCACGAAAAAGCAGAGCATCGTGTGAATTTGGAAATAGGGAAGTGAATTTTAAACCTATTTACAACTGATTTTTTTTTATTTTATTTTTTCCCATTACTGATATAGGTAGGCAAAAAGCACGTCAAACACAATATCTAACAGATAGGAAAGCAAATAAGTAGTATAGAAAGGTTAAAACATAGTGCTATGGGAAAGGTGGACAGAAGCAGAAGATACAAAACTACAGACCTTAGGGAAGATACATAGTGCATAAAACATTAAACAAGAAATTTTGAGAGGAAAAACAACAAAAGAAGAGCATTATCAAGGAGTGATACCAAGCCAGTTCGAGAGAAGAAACAACAATAACAACAACAACAACAACAACAAAACATCTTCTTTATGCCGACGGGGAATTCAATCATTCAAAAGAAACCCAAGAAAAGCAGTATAATAGATAGATAGATATTCAAACAAAAACCAAAACAAAACAAAACACAAAAAAATTGCGAATTGCGATTACAGAACGAATTCAGAAAAGAAAAGCGAATTCATCAAATAGAAAAATCCCAAATCGCCCCAAACCCTGGGGGTAATGTTGTCATTTAAAAAAATCCCAAACATTTATTAGTATTTATTTATTTATTACTATATATTATAAGAAAATGCTACAATCCCGTTACGGAACCATTTCGTCGGGATTTGTAACCGTTAGATCATCATGTAACCGTCATGGATAGTTGATCTAACGGTTACAAATCCCAAAGGAATGGTTTCGTAACGGGACCATAGAATCTCCCTAGCAAAATGCCAAAACGGGCGAAAAAAAGAAAAAGAAATAGAAAATGAGTTGTCGGCTACTGCAAACATTCAGGGGTTGCCATTAAAGAAAAATAACCTGAAAATCGGAACTGAAGTGACAAAAAGGGAAAAAGCTCTATTTGCAAATCTCTTGCGAATCCCAAATTGAAACAGGATAAGAAAGAAAAGGGAAGTACAATTATGAAAAACAGAGTTTGATATTACCTTTTGGAGCAAATGAACACGATGATTGCGAAAATCGCGACGACAAGCACCGCGGCCATGCATGCGCGGTCAGAGTTGGGTCGCTTCACGATTTTCTTCTTGCCCTTCTTCGATTTTTGCTTCTTGAACGAACTCGTCATCCTCTTCCTGCCACATGTGCCATTCATCCAAAGAAAGCGCTTTTTCTTTGCCATCTTCAAAGTGAGCTCAGGGAAGAAGAAGAAGAAGTAGTGGAGAGGTTGATTTAATGAGAGTAATAAACGTAACTGAAAATAATCTTGGAGAGAAAAATCTGTTTAACGAGAGCGAATGGAAAAATATTGGAGAAGAAAATCTGTTTTAAAGAAATGCGCCCAAGGTAGCGTTCAGTTTTAAAGCCGCCAGACAAAAGGGGAACAATACGGTTATTAAGAGGATGACGGAAGCTTCTACATAAGAGGTCGTAAAAGCGATGGAGAGATGAGGCTCCACGCCGCCAAGAAAATGGAGGAGGCAGTCGAGGTCATCGCCCTCGCCGAGAATCGCGCGTTTTCGAACTAAAAAACAAAAACTCAGCCGGATGTTGTTTTCCCGCCAAAAAAAGGGCAAAAAACGCCAGGGGGCCCGATACCCGAGAAGTTCGAGGAGACCGCGAAAAACGTCGTGTTGGAGCATACTGGAATTAATAACGACAACTTAATTGATGAAGTTTGAGTTTTGGAACTCGTTCGGGGCCCACAAGAGCTAGCGCACCGGATGCTCTGGTGGGGTTGCGGAGGATGGGCCCTCAGGATGATGCTATGGTGGGGAGGCACGCGGAGGATTATTATCCGGAGAGGGAACATGTGCCGTTGAGTCAGATGCTGCGAGAGCAGAGTCGGGGTATCCTGCATCATCGTGCGAGCCCAAGGAAGATGAGAATATCGATAAAAGGCAGTATTTTTTTCCAGAAGAAGAAGAAAAAGAAGTTTGGGTTCATTCACGTGCCGGTTTATAACAGGAATACCAAGAAGAGGTGAGGGATCTGAATGTGAGGTCACTATAAGCTTGGTTTGGGGTGATTTGTTATAGTGTACAGGCCACTTCGGCACTTCCTCTCATGGCTGAGTAATGCTTGCCCTGACTCATTTCTTTATATAAATCTTCTTACTTCGCTCTGAGTACTGTGACAGACTCAGCAATTAGTTTATCGTCTTCTGGTTTTTGTGTTCGATTTTCGGTTGATAGTATAATTTGTCTTCCAACAACTTACGGGTGCATTTGGGCTGAAGGGGATTTGGATTTAAGGGCGACATATTTAGGAAATATATGCAACCATTTACATGCAATTCAAGTTCAACACTTAGCAAAGGTGTAGCACATCAACTTAATAGACATGCATTTGCTATAAAAATACAGATTTGAGATAGATAATTAAAATTTTCAAAACAAGAAAAGAGAGAGCTATAAATCACTAATCACAATATTAATTTGTAGCCGTTGGTGAATCGTAATCTAGGCACTCCATAATAACATGGTAATCACTGTATGTACTAATTGTTCAGGTTCGCAATACAGGCGTGAACCAACCGATACACGACCCTTGTGCTTGTAAGCTTGAAATGTCCAGATAATGTCGCTCGATCGTGCCATCTTCCATGTTGAAGGTGCCATGTTCATGGAGGACGAATAATTTGTCCACATCAAATTCACCATTTTCTTCTTCTTCTTCCTCTTCAACTTCATCCCAGATTTTCCCCTTACCATCCGTTG